TTAATAGTTCAGGTTGATGATCCTGCATCAGAATTAACTCGGGAAGTCATTAATGAATGCAGTCAGAAATTGAGGAAGATGTCTTTATCCAGTGAATGTGCGAATGTGGAACTTGGACCCAGGGGAGTGATTGGAATGAATAGATTAAACATGTTTCAGAAGACATTAAATATGTTTCAGAAGTTGGCCGGGATAGAACTTTATTCCTTGGAATACAGAAGAATGAGGGATGACCTTATTGAGGTGTATACAATCATGAGGGGCAAAGATAGAATGAATGCACCTAGTTTTTTTCCCCAGGATGGGGAATTGAAAACTAGAGGGCATGGATTTAAGTTGAGAGAGGAAAGATTTAAGAAGGACCTGAGGGGCATCTTCTTCACACAGAGAGTGGTGTGTGTATGGAATGGGCTGCCAGAGAAAGTGGTTGAGCCAGGTATAATAGCAACATTTAAAAAACATTTGGTTAGGTACATGGATGGGAAGGGTTGAGAGGGACATGGTCCAAATGTGGGCAATTGGAACTAGCTGAATCGGCACCATGGTCAGCATGGACCAGTTAGGGCCGAAGGGCCTGTTTCCATGCTGAATTACGCTATGACTCTATGTCTTAAGTTTAAGATGACTTGGCATGTATCCTGTGGAGTTTAGAAGAGTCAGAGGTGACTGAACTGAAACATAGAAGATCCCGAGGGGATTTGACGGGCTGGATATCAAAAGGACGTTTCCTCTTGTGGGAGAATCGAGACCGAGGGGGTCACTGTTTCAAAATAAGAGGTCGCCAACTTAAGATGGAGATGAGGAGGCATTCCTCTCACAGAGGGCTGTGAGTCTTTGGAGTTTCCTTCCTCAAAAGACAGTGGATGCAGAATCTTTAAATATTTTTAAAGCTGAGGGAGATAGATTCTTGATAACTAAGGGGATGAAAGATTATTGGGGGTTTGCAGGAATCTAGAACGGAGGTTGAAATGAGATCAGCTGTGCACTTATTAAATGGTGTAGCAGATTTGATGGGCTGAGAGGCCTACTCTTGATCCTTATTTGTAAGAAGCCTCATTAGGAATAATAAAAGGAGAGGGCAATAGGATGAGATGAAGAGTATTTTGAGTAAGTTGGTGTGGCTCTGCTGGGCTAAATGGATTGTTTCTGTCCTGGACATTTTATGACATCATGTTTTTTATTTATTCATTCATGGGATGAGGGCGTTGCTGGTTAGGCAGCATTTATTGCCCATCCCTAATTGCCCAGAGGGCAGCTAAGAATCAACCACATTGCTGTGTGTCTGGAGTCACATGTAGGCCAGACCAGGTAAGGGTGGTTTTTTCCTGACAATTGACAATTGACACTAGACTCTTAATTCCAGATTATTATTGAATTCAAATTCCAACATCTGCCATGGCAGGATTCAACCCAAGTCCCCAGAACATTACCAGGGTCTCTGGATGAATAGTCTAGTGGTAATACCACTAGGCCATTGCCTACCCATGTAGATAGACAAGTTGTGCAGTTATAAATTTTGAACAAATGTGCCCATCATTTGCAGGTTATATGTCAAGCTGTAAAATGTGATCCATTCTCATATAATTCATCCATTCTGCCTGCTCTTATTAGACACTACTGAAATGGAACTTATTGCAGGATCATTACTGGCAACAAATAACATTGATTTTTCAGATAATCATATAACTTTTGTGCACCAGTCCTTTTTTGGTCCATATCATAGAATCATCAAATCCCTATAGTGTGGGAGTAGGCTATTCAGCCCATCAAGTCCACACTGACCCTCTGAAGATTATTCCACCCAGACCCACCACCCCTATGGTTACCCTGCATTTCCCATGGCTGACCCACCCAGCATGGGCATCCCTGGACACTATGGGGCAATTTACCATGACCGATCCACCCTAACTTGCACATCTTTGGACTGTGGGAGGAAACTGGAGCACCCAGAGGAAACCCACGCAGACATGGGGAGAATGTGCAAACTCCACACAGACAGTTGCCCAAGGGTGGAATTGAACCTGGGGCCCTGGCGCCGTGAGGCAGCAATGCTGACCACTGAGCCACCCCAAAGGGGGGAGGTGGTATGAGGAGAGAAAGGCTAATTGTAAGATTGGACAAGTGCAGTGAGCAATGGCCTCCTGTCTGTTTGAATTGGATTGAAAATGAACAACATTCTAATTGCTTGAAAAGGGAGACAGTTTAAGGAGGAGTAGGAATAATTAGTGAGTATAGTTCTATAATTGGCCATGTCAAATTAGCAGCAAACCTAGAAAGAAGCAGAGATTCATGCTAAATGAATCCATATTAAAACACTTCATATGATCCCCTGGAACTGGATCAGAATAATTTGAGCTGAGCTTTGTGTAAGGATGAGCAGAGCCAGCACAGTGTAGATTACAATAAAACTCAACTAAAGATGTGCAAAAGTTGAAAAACTGAGCCCTTTGCTGTGTCGGAGGGAAATTTAATTATGGAGTAATTAACAGAAATTATTGCCGGAAGGTTTCTGTAATTTCAGTCAAATGGTTGACCTTTGTTAAGATTGCTGCAAATCAGACTTTATAGGCATATGAACTTTACAATGGTTGAAGAAGTCTGATCAATCCAAACTTCCCTTTTGGAAGCATTGTGAAACATGCTACAGTTTATGGATGAGAGCACTGAGATCCAATCAATGTCATTCACTGACATTTATTTACTGCTGTCTTTGTAATTTTATTAAAATCATAGTAATTCCTTCTATTTGTGTAGCGCCTCTGTTCTGAGCACAGCTCAAAGAATGTAGTTCTTTTGGAGTGTAATCAACTTTTCCACATTGCAGGTGGTCTGTGCGAGTCAAGCTTTCTCGAACATCACTCAGATAGTGGTATTGGCTTGTTCTGAACCATACAACCATTCCCATTATTTTACCCAGAAGGGATTTGAGAAAGAGGCAGATAAAGGTTATCATGCAAAAAAGGAACACGCGATGCAGGGGATAACATGGATAGAAGACTGCGCTGCTGCCAAGTAACAGAGACAATTCATCAATGGATCTTTTTCGGATTGCTGGGATGTGATCACTGGGATCCTGCAGAGATCTCTGTTGGGCCTCAGCTCTTTGCAATAACTTTGAGGAGGGCAGAGAAGGCTTGGTCATTAAATTTGCAGCCAACGCCAAGATAGGTTGGAAAGTATGTGGTGAAATGGACATACTTAATATAAGCAGGTTGACCAAAAACCTGGCCAATGGGGGTATAATGTGCGAACAGATGAAGTTGTTCTCTTTGGGGGGAAGAGCAAAAGAAAGGCAAAGTATTACTTAAATAGAGAATGCCTGTGGAGTTTTGAGGTGCAGAGCGATGTTCCCTCTCAGCTCTGTGTGTGTGTGTGTGTCGATCATGTCATTGTCCAGAAGATAGTGCCCACATGCACAGCTTGAAAGAAATGTACTAGGAATGTTAGTGCAGAGGGATTTGGCTGTTTGAGTGCAGGAGTCACAAAAAGTTAGTAAGCGGGTGCAGCATGTAATCCAGAAGGGTAATGGGATGCTATCCTTTATTATGAGAAGAAAAGGACTTTGAGGTGAAAATAGAAAAAAGAAACAAAGAACTGTGGATGCTAGAAGTCAGAAACAAAATCAGATATTGTTGGAAAAACTCAGCAGATCTGGCAGGATCTGTGGAAAGAAATCACAGTTAATGTTTTGGGTCCAGTGACCCTTCCTCAGAACTGATTGTAGCTGGGAAGAGGTTGGTATATATGCTGAAGATGGGGTGGGGTGAGGGGTGAGGGATGAGGGGTGAGGAGTAAACAATAGATGTGAATGGAGTCCAGAGAGAGAGAGTTGGATATACAAAGGCATGGGTAAAGATCAGGCTGGGAGAATGAATTGCTGCTAATGGAGACCATTAGTGGCTGACAATAGGTAGTTTATGGTAACAGCCCATGTGATGACAAGGCCTGGTGTGTGGGGGTAGGGGTAAGGGCATGGGAGAAGGTACTCAGGTCCTAAAATTGTTGAACTCGATATTGAGTCCCAAAGGCTGCAGGGTCCCCAAGGGGATAATGAGGTGCTGTTCTTCCAGCTTGCGCTGAGCTTCACTGGAGCACTGCAGCGAGCCTGAGACAGAGATGTTGTCCATGGAACACAGTGGTGTTTTAAAGTGGCAGGCAACTAGAGGTTTAGGGTCATTTTTGTGGACTGAACATAAGTGTTCTGCAAAGCAGTCACCCAGTCTGTATTTCATCTCCTCACTGTAGAGGAGACCACATTGTAAAGTGAGATGCTATGCTTCAGTAACACAGGGCATTAGTGAGACCACATCTCTGTGGAATTCATTACAGCAGGAAGTAGTTGAAGCCAAAACATTGAATGTATTCAAGTGGTGGCTAGATATAGCACTTGGGGCGAATGGGATCAAAGGTTATGGGGAGAAAGCAGGATTAGGGAATTGAGTTGGACGATTAGCCATGATTGTGAAGAATGGTTGAGCAGGCTCGAAGGGCTGAATGGCCTCGTCCTGCTCCTACCTTCTATGTTTCTATCTCAAATACTGTGTGCAGTTTTGATCTCCTTATTGAAGGAAGGATGTAAATGCATTGCAGACGATTTAGAGGATGTTTACTGGACTGATACCTGGAGTGAGTGGGTTGCTTTATGAGGAAAGGTTGGACAGACCCTGGGGTTTAGAAGAGTGAGGGGGGACTGGATTGAAGTGAATAAGGTTCTCAATGGTCTGGACAAGGTCAATCTGGAAAGGATGTTTCCTTTTGTGGGTCAGTCCAGATCCAGGGGGCAGTGATTAAAAATTAGGGGTCACCCTTTTGGGACAGAGATGAGAAGAATTCCTTTTGTGAAGGTGGAACTGTCTGCCTGAGAAGGTGATGGAGGTGGGGCTGTTGAATAATTTTAAGGCAGAGGTCAGTAGACTCCTGGTGGTAGAACATTTCTGCTCCTGGCTCATATGTGTGTTTGTCTGATATGAAAATGACAAAATCCATTCTCCTCTCTCCAGCTCCCGTGCAAGGTCCTTGCAATCCTCCTCCATTTCTTCTTCCTCAGTGTCTTCTCCTGGATGTTGGTTGAAGGTCTCCACCTCTACAGCATGGTCATCAAAGTATTCGGTTCCGAGGAGAGTAAACACTTCTACTATTATGGGATAGGCTGGGGTGAGTATCATTGCCATGGACACTTATTGTGGATAGCTAGCTGATGACTGGAATGTTCAGAAAAGCAGAACGGGATAAAGAGGGAATGTTGGAGCTTAATACTTGCCAAGTATTACAGATTTGGATTGATTTTCAGCGGTTTAAGAAGGTCACAATATAATATGTGGTGCTCAGAAAGCTCACTGGATATTGTGTTTGAATCCTGCAGTACCTGTGTAGGAACGTTGAGGCCACTGGGCCCACTCACAATGGATCAGCAGTTTATAGCTAATAATGATCAACAGGAAATCTATAGATTATCGTGATCCTTTAACTTGAAGTGATATTGGTTAAGAACTTTTTTTTTGCAAAATCATCTACATCCACCTCAGTGGATGAATGACCTTGGATTAAAGTCTCAGCTGAAAGATAGCTCCTCGGACAGCGCTGTACTCCCTCAGCGCTGCACTAGGGTATCAAGGCTGTTTCTGGCCTGAACCTACTGTCTCAGGAGAGTGAGAGTGTTAGCTTCCTCACCAGAGTTGTCAAGATGTGTTTGGTCATTTTAATCATGAGAGATGGGGAGAGTAGCTGCCTTTACCCTCATTTTAAACAAACCAGTGAGTGAAAAGGTCAAACATGATGTTGATGCTTTGATAAACAGCTGAATGTGCACTGTCAATATGTTCTACTTGTCCCTTATTTTAGGCTCACCCTTGGTGATTTGCATTGTGTCTGTCACCTCAGCATTTGGCAGCTATGGAAATGCAGACAAGTGAGTATTCTGGGAGTCAATCTGTTCTATTTGGAATTGTTTCATAGGAATCATTCTGTAGAAAAATCCCCCTTAGTCACTCCATCTTAAACTGCTCTGTGCTGAACCCAGCTCATTGGTATGAGGAGGCCATTCACCCCACTGAATCCTATTCCACCATTCAGTTAGATCACAGAAAATCTGATCCTAACTCCATTTCCCCATCTTAATAGAGTCAACAATCAAAAATCAAATTAAAGCAAAATGCAACAGATGCTGAAAATTTAAAATAACACAGAGAATGCTGGAGACACTCATCAGGTGTGGCAGTGTCTGTGAGGAGAGACACAGAGTTAATGTTTCAAGTCCAGTGACCCTTCTTTAGAATTTAAAATCTATTAATCTTAGTTTGGCAGTTTCCATTTGAGCCCCTATCTCAGCAGCTTTTTGAGTGAGTTTCTGAATTCTGTCACCCTCTTGTACACAGAGGAGTTTCCTGACATCGTCCTCAAATGGTTTGTTTCTAAGGATTCACTTCAATGAGAGGGCAATGTTGCTGTGTTAACCCCTTTGGTCACCTTAAACATGTCAATTACTATCTCACAATTTTCAAAGATCACTCAGAGATAGTAAGAAATGCCAATGCTGGAGTCAGAGATAACAGTGTGGAGCTGGAGGAACACAGCAGGCCAGGCAGCATCAGAGGAGCAGGAAAGCTGACGTTTTGGGTTCGGAATTCTAAAGAAGGGTCCCGACCCAAAACACTGACTCTCCTGCTCCTCTGATGCTGCCTGGCCTGCTGTGTTCATCCAGCTCCACACTGTGTTATGCCAAAGATCACTGCTGACTTTGTTGTGGAGGTGCCGGTGTCGGACTGGGGTGGACAAGGTCAGAAGTCACGCGACACCAGGTTATAGTCCAACAGGTTTATTTGAAATCACAAGCTTTCGGAGCGTTGCTTCTCCTGGTGTAGTGTGACTTCTGACTTTGCTACCTTTTTAACACGCATTGTGTTACGATGTTGCCTTGTGCAAACATCACGTCAGTCAGAGCTCCTCGCAAATTCCTCCCTCTGTCTTTGACATAAGAGTTAAATCCAGCTGCATCACTGTGTAACTCATCAGTGAGTTTTTGGAATGTTTTCCTTTCTCTGGTGTTGAAGGTTACCGGATTTTCCAGTGAACTCTTATAGAACAGGAGCTCAGAATGATTGAGCCAGCCTCTGTCTAGCTGATGTGTTATAAATCACACCATTTATTCTCATTTACTCCAATTAATTAATTGTAAATTAAGCCAAGGAGAACTGAGTACTTCCTCGTCCGACTAATTATTGTCATGGTCTGTGTTTGGGTTTTGCTATTTAACGTTATCTCCAGGGTAAAATGAGATTCTAATGACAGAAGCTTCTGTCATGGGAGTCACAATCTCTTCTCCTTTTCTTAAGAAACATTAATAATTGAACAAAATTCTTACAGTTTGCAATAGGGTGGCAGATAGAAAGAATGTAGCCCCAGCAGAGTCATAATGTGGTAATTATTGCTCCCTTTATGGAGACCGAGTTAGCTATCTGGTTATAAAAACCGATATAATAGCTGGAGGTAAAATTATTTAAACTCTGTAAATATTACTCTGGTTTGTTAAAAATGGAATCTGACAATTTGGGTTAAAGAATGTGAGAATCATGCTGACTAAATGAGATTCTCTCCCATGAACAGTTTTTCTTTGTTGTGTATCAGGGACTAACTGTAATGTAGTTTTATACAGGGCTGTTGCTGTAGATATAACTTCTGCACTGCCTAGTTCCTGTCTAAGGACTTTACTTGTGTTTTCAAGTTTTAACACTCTATTTGTTTTAAGAGAAAGTTATCCCAATGCAGCTACCATTTTCTTGCATTCTTTGTAAGTGACACAGATAATGGAACCTAGATACAGTTTACTGAAAAAGTTCAAACTGATTCATTAACAGCTCAGTTACAGATAAGGACATAAACAATTGTCTGCAAACATGTTTCTTGCAGAATTATACATGACTAACTGTCATGTGGTTTACATTCTGGTCCTTGGCATTACCTAGATCTTAAAGCAGCAACACAGCATTCATTTCTATAGCATTCAGTGTTTTGCCCCATATAGTAGCTCCTGACCTCCTGCAGCTCTGTCATTACTGATTCACATTAATTTTCAAGAAATTCATTACCTTGATTTTTTTCCTTTTCCCAGTCAGATGTGTATTAGAATCATAGAATCTCTACAGTGCAGAAAGAGGCCAAAAAAGTCCCCAAAAAAGCACCCACTCAGACTGACCCAATCCCTGTAAACCTGCATTTCCCATGTGGTAATCCACATATGGTCACTATGGGCAATTTAGCATGGCCAATCCACCTAACCTGCACATCTTTGGACTGTGGGAGGAAACCGGAGCACCCGGAGGAAACCCACACAGACAAGGGGAGAATATGCAAACTCCACACAGACAGTTGCCCGAGGGTGGAATCAAACCCGGGTCCCTGGAGCTGTGAGGTAGTAGTGCTAACCACTGAGCCACAACGCCAGCCTTAATTCCTCATTTGAAAGGTGTAAATCTGTTTTCTTCTCTTTGCAGCTCCTGTCACCCAATCAGACACTTTCTTCCATTCACAATCATTCTGCCACCTTTGCAACTCCTTCAGCCTGTGTTTGAGGGATTTACGTTTGGAATGTTTCCATGCAGAGGAGCTGCATGTGCAGCTTCATGTGTTGGGTAAAACAAAGACAAAATCTCAGGTTGGGTTTCCTGCACACAGATCCTGCCCACTGTCCCCTCTTGGAGGTATGCACATGGTGTCCAGGCTGTGATGGGGTCCTGTTATGTCCCATGTAATGGACTGCTGGCTGGATAGGGAACAGTGAGAGGGAACAGTGAGAGGGAGCAGGTGCAGGGTTGACTGAGTTGTGAATCTGACAACGTCGATTACTGGAAAATCTATGGCACACAAACAGACCATTTCACCCAATACATTGAAGGTGCTGTTTGTGCTCATCATGAGTCCACTCCCACCTTTGGTTCATCTCATCATTTCCTTCTATTCCTTTCTCCATCATGTCTTTATCCAACTTCCTCTTGAATATATTGATGCCATTCACCCTAATCACTTGCTGTGGGAGTGAGGACCACATTCTCCCCACTCCTGGGGTAAAGAAATTAATCTGAGCTCCCGATTGGATTTAGTCTTATAGGTCAGGCCCCTGGGTCAGGTCTCTTCCATAAGTGGAAACTTCTTCTCTCTCAGATTGCAATCTCCTCATTCCTCAAGTCTTCTAACTTCTCTCAGAGGAACCGAGCTCATTTACTGAAAGAGAGGTGAGAGACTCCAACACAAAATGTTTTGAGTTATTGTGAACCTACTTTGCATCCTGTGGTCTTGCAATGAGGCATGGCTCTATGTCTGTTTCTAGCCTGGACACACTGCACAAGTTACTAACTCTGTACAGTCACTAATTACAGACTCTGCTGCTGCGTTTTCGATTTGAAAGACAAACCCATAGAAGGTGCCTGGAAGGTTTAAAACCCTGGATAACACGACTGGTGCAGACGGAGCTGCAGGGTCAGATATGCAGACACTTATGAAACTTCAATGGCTTTGCCCTGGTTGCTTTGATTTTATCAGACCAAGTGCCTACAGGTGCACCAGACCTTTTGCACATTAACAACGTCTGGGAATAGTTAGAATCGCACAGCAGTACAGAGTCAGGAAAGTTAATAGATATCAACAAATCCTATTGAGTCCATGGTGACTGCCTGTACAACAATTCAGCTCCATTAACCTTGTTTTATCCCCACAGCCAAGCAGATTTATGTCCCTCAAGACCCCATCCAATTTCATTTTGAAATCATTGAGCATTACATGCACAGTCTTTATCCCAGGGTAGAAATGTCAATTACAAGGGGACATAGGGTTAAGGGTAAAAAAAGGAGAAAGTTAAATGGAGATGTGAGACGCAATTTTTTCACACAGAGGGTAGCATGGCCTGGAATACGTTGCCAGAGGAGGCGGTGCAGTCAGATACAGTAATATGGACTGCATAGAGGCAAAATGTTTTTAGTTTAGAAAGGCGCCATGCACCGGCTAAAGGGGCCAGTTCCTGTGCTGTACTGTTCTTTGCTCTTGGCTACCTCTGCTTTAGCATCAGGCCAGGTTGTGAATGCTGGCTCCCTTCCAGTCACTACCTAAAAGCGTTCTTCCTCATTTCCCCCAGTATCTCTTTCTTAAAACCTTACATCTGTGGCTCCTAGTCCTTGTGCTATCAGTAAATAGGAAAAGTATTTTTGTGGTCTGTCTTACCTAATTCAATCATAATCTTGTCCACCTTCACATCAACCCACCACCCCCCACCTCTCCCCGAAATCCTTAGTTCCAACTCAAAGCAATGCCATGTTCCTCAAATAATCCTCATCCCTGGAGACCTTCTGACAAACCCCTCCAGTCCCAGGGACCCTCCCACCCTTCCTGTTGGGGTGACCAATACTGAATGTAATAAGCTAGCTCTGGCCTAAATAGAGCTTTAGGAAGGCTCAGCATGAATTCTCTGCTCTCCTACTTAATGTTAGCATTCATTTCAAGAGGGCTAGAAAACAAGACCAGAGATGTACTGTTGAGGCTGTATAAGGCTCTGGTCAGACTGCATTTGGAATATAGTGAGCAGTTTTGGGCCCTGTATCTAAGGAAGGATGTGCTGGCTTTGGAGGGGGTCCAGAAGAGGTTTACAAGAATGATCCTGGGGGTGAAGGCCTTGTCATTTGAGGAGCGGTTGAGGATGCTGGGTCTGTACTCATTGGAGTTTAGAAGAATGAAGGGAGATCTGATTGAAACTTACAGAATACTGAGAGGCCTGGGTAGAGTGGACATGGAGATGTTTCCTTTAGTTGGAGAGACTGGGACCTGAGGGCACAGCTTTAGAGTGAAGGGCCGACCCTTTAGAACTGAGATGAGGAGGAATTTATTCAGCCAGACTGTGGTGACTGTGTGGAACTCATTGCTGTA